GGGCATTGGAAGGCCATGTCGACACTTTGCTGGCGGGGCGCGGCCAGCGAAAGCGGCCATGGGTCGGCCGAGGGGGAAGGATGCAAGGGTAACCTTGGGCAGTCGCCCATGCTCACTATGCGGGTCGACTGTTCTCCTCCTCTCCCTCCCCGCGCGCAAGGGCGGGGCGGCGGGGGGAGCGCGCGCCCCGACGGCGAGGAGGACCCCGGCAAAGAAGAGCAGGCCGCTGATGTCGACCTGCGCGGCCGGAGGCCCGCGCGCCCCCCTGGGCGCCGCGGTGCCGTCGCGGCCCGGCAGCGGAGCACGCATTCGGCCCGGCGCGGGGCGAGGAGCGAGGGGCGAGGGGCGGCAGAGGTTCCTGGGCGACGGCGAGGACGAGGATACGGCACTCCTAGGAAATGTCGCGCGCGCAGCGCAGGACATGCAAATTCAGGCGAGGCGGGTCCTTGGACCGCCTGGAGGCACCGAGGATCACGCCCTGCCCACCCAAGGGATCACGGCAAGAGGCGAGGAGCACAGCGATGGCAGGCGGCGGCGGGGCGGTCCGAGTACTCGATGATCGGGGGGCGCGCGCGCCGCTCGAAGAGCCAGAACGAGGAGGACGAGCAAGGCAGGTGGGCTACACGGGAGACTGCTTTGCTCTGGATTCTGGGAAGTCTGCCTGCATGGCAGGCCAGAAGCAACTCGCACGTTTTGGGGGGGCTCCACGCCGACGCAAGCGCAAGTGGAATTCCTCGGAAATCGCAGGCACACGCAAGGCTTGCCTTTGGTACGCCACATGGCCAGCTTCGAGTACTTCCAAAAGCCAGGTGTCCCAGGATGCGTCCCCCTGGTTCCACGAGGATACTGAACCAACCATCGGAAAGCAACATGCAACGCAGGCGAGCGCAATAAAAGACGCAGTCAAATGCACAACTTATGAAAGCAGCTGCAACCACACGAAACACATGCAACAACCACACACGCAGCTGCAATCACACACAAATGCAAAGAACATGCACAACCACACACGCGAACACTTAAAAACGATGCAATCAAAAGGTTTTGGGCAACCGTTGGGAAACCGTTTGGGGAATCATCTGGAACGAATTGGAAAACCATTGGAACACCATTGGAAAACAATTCACCAACCCTTGGAACACCATTGGGAAACCAGTGTGAACCCATTGGGAAATGATTGATAAACAAACTGGTCAACCATTGGGAAAATTGACCGTCGAATGGCACAATGGGTGCGGGTGGGGGCGCCATAGGCCATTTTGTTTTGAGGAAAGTACGATCGAACTCCAAGAAAACCATATTTTCCAAGCTCTGGACTTCATCAGGGACCGCGGGCTCATGGAGTGCCACGCGGCTCGCGAGATGGTGGCCGCCTTCGGTGCCGTGGATACGATGCTGATGACGGATCGGCAGAAAGGCTTGCTGAATCAGGTGAGCTTCGAGCGGCTGGTGAGGAAGGGGTGCGCCCTGGCCCGCGCGCACCGCGACTTCCACTGCAAGGACGACTGGAGCCGCCCGAAGGATGCCAAAAGCTGGAAGACCAAGCTGGACTGGGAGGCTGCACGCCGCCTGGACCCCCAGCTCTCGGAGGAAGGGACTCTGAGGGTGATGAGCGCGGAGGAGGAGATGAAGAAGGCCATGGGTCGGGATGCGCAGCTGATGAAGGCGCGCGCGGATCTCGACAGCGGGGGGTCGGCCCCGCCTTGAGTCATCCTGAGCTTCACTTGGGGTCCGCTGTGCCAGCTGCGCGGCGGAGCCCGTCCAGTCATCGGTCGATCCTGGGCTGCTGGTGGCTTTCTCCCAGACCCTTCGGCCACTTGAGGCTGGGGTCCTGTGTTTGTGTGCACGCCGAATTAGGGCTTCTATGTCGAGGCGGCGGGGCATCCTGTCCGAGGTGGCTCTCTTCCCCAAGCCCGCTCGGGCCCCATCTTCGTCAAGGAGGTTGGCTTCACCGTGGAGGTCGGTAGTGGACTTGCTGAATCGTGCGAACCGTTGCCTTCTCGCCCTGCGCCAACTGCACCGGGGGAGCTTCAACGACAAGCACCTCTCGTGCCGGGAAGTGTGGTGCCAGGGGGCCGGGGGGAGGTGCCGGAGCTAGGTGCGTCGGTTGCAACGGCCGTCGTCGATGTCCTCAGGAGGAGCCACGATGCCGCGGCTGCGTCCTGCCGCTTCGGCGGCGGACCAGTCCCGGAGTACCTACGTGAAGGAAGGTCGCCGAGCTGGGGAGGAGGCTGGCTGGTGGCTGCGGGAGGCTAATTACCGGATCGGGGCGAGACGTTCCCAGCCCAAGGAGATCGAGTGGCCCTACCTCCCCCTGGTTCGAGGCCAATCGGCGCTGAGCGCCATGTCCTATCTCGACGTCTCGGAGGAGATGAAAGAGCCAGGTGCGGAGATGAAGTTCGATATGGGCGACCTCCCCGACTTCTATTACACCCTCGACCTGGGGGAGGAGCTGGCGCCCAACTTTGTGCTGCCTGCAGTGACGGCGAGTGGTGGCCTCCCTGCCCGACGACGTGGTCCTAACGGGTCAGGGAGAGTATCTGAGGATCCGAGTGGCGCTAATGGGTTTTTTCGCGTGCGTGCTGGGTGGAGACCACGATGGAGGACTTGTTCAACGGAGGTCCTCAGGTGAGTCTGGCCTGGCTCTCGGAGGAGCAGCGGCTGGCCGAAGGCGGCCACCTCCCCCAAATCTCCCGCCAGGCGCCGGCTGCCCACTACGAGCACATCGACTTCGGGATCATCGGCGTGAACTTCGCGGCCTCGAGAAGCGACCCGACACCTCGCCGAGTACGGGACGTGTGGACCGGAGCCAAGAGTTTGGTGAGATCCGCGGGTTTCCAAATTCGCAAGGATCGGGCGTTGGCAGAACTGGGTTTAATGCAACCTGGTTTATTGTACCGGGGGCGCCCTCCCGTCCCTCTTCCACTAACCGGAACTGCCGTCACCCGAAAAACACCTGTTACGGTAAACCTGGTTTAGTGATTCTGGCCAAATGAGGGGCCCCAGGGCCCTGCCACTAACCGGGTCCCCTTACCTGGGGTCCTGGCTATACCCGAAAGGACGACTGCGCGAACGAGGCAAGGATGATCGGCGGGGGCTTCTCGGGACGCGCCTGGCGCCGAACCAGGACAAGATGTGGGTCGTGGTCGCGGGGATCGGGGAGATCATGGAGAAGCATGTGGAAAGCCCAGACGCGGTGGCTCGCATCGTGGGCATCCTGTCCTGGGGCTTCCTTCTGTGCCGAGGTGCGCTGGGCATGTTCGCGGAGGTGTACCAGTGGTGTTCGGAAACTCGAAGTGGACCACGCCAGCCGGTTCCGAGGGAGATGCTCAGGGAGTTGGCGGTGGCTGTCGCGATCTTGCCGCTGGTGTCGGTGGACCTGGCCGTGCCCTGGAATCCCCTGGTGACGATGTTCGATGCCAATCTGCACGGAGGAGCCATCATCGGCACGGAGAGCACCCTGGAGGAGCAGCGTCGAGATGCCCGGTTCGACGTGCAAGGGGGCTGGGCCTTCTGAACGGGTATCTCCTCGTCTTGGGCTGCCGTGCAGTGTTCCGAGGGTGAGGACTACCTGCGCGTGATGAAGGGCGTCGAGCTGGGGACCCGCATCAGGGCCCCGCTGGTCCACGGGTGCTGGGACGACCTGTCGCGGTGGAAGAAGCTGATGAGGTGGAGGTGGGACGAGCCCGAGCACATCAACATCCTGGAGATGAGGACTGGCCTCGCCTGGGTGCGGAGGTCTGCGAGACCGCGAGCGAGCTGGGACCGACAACATCTGAGGATCACCGACTCCATTGTCTGCCTGGGCAGCTACGCCAAGGGGAGGTCCGCCAGCGCGTGGATCCTGATTTTGCGCAGGCGGATGGCCTCCTTGGACATGGGGCGCGGAATGAGGGAGTACTGGAAGTGGGCACCCTCGGATCGGAATCACAGCGACGGACCTAGCCGAGGATTCCCGATCGGCCAGGCCCCGAACTACAGGAGCGAGGCGGAGGGGGCGCTGCCTTCCCTGGCGGCGGAAGCCATGGAGGAGCCGGTCGAGATCGCCGAGGAGGATCCCTTCGAGCCGCTGCGCTGCCGGCCTGTGATCTCGGTTCGGGCTCTGCGCCTCGTCTACCTCTGCAGCGGACACACGAGGAAAGGGGTCCTGGAGTGCTGGCCACTGCGCCTGGCGGCTCTGCGAATCTACCTCCTGGCGCGCGCGAGCGTGGACGTGGGCTTCGGACCCGAGTTCGACCTGACCGACGAGGTGAATGTGAGGAAGTGGGAGATGTTCTCAAAGGCAGCCACGGATGGAGGACATGCTGGACCTTCGTGCGCCACGTGGTCTCGCGTGCGATTCCAGCCAGTCCTCCCCCTCTACGGCTGCGAAGCCATCTCTGGGGGCGGCCCGGGCTGCGAGGACGGGATCATCGGAACGTGGAGCTGGGGGCCGCGCAGTTGTCGAGCAGTCTGAAGATCCTGCGGACTATTGGGCGGAAGGGCGGTTCTGTTTCGCTCGAACATCCCGCCGACCCCAGGGCGCCTCCATCCCCTTCCAACTTCATCACCGAGGAGCTGCTGACTTGGAAAAAGGAGCCAGGTGCGCATCGGGAGACGTTCCCGCAATGTACGTGGGAATGCCCAACTTTGAAGATGACGACCCTGACGGGAACAGCCAAGGAGATGGGCCGCTTCGCGCAGCCGTGCGCCCACGGGACGCACCTGGCGAGCCTGCGTGGGAAAAAGCGACTCTGGAGGTGTGCTAGTCGAGTTGCCCGGTGCGATCCATCGGAACTCTGCCGAATGCTGGCGGAATGCCACTTGGGCGCCATGTTGACGGGCTGCAAGAAAAGGGAGGTGGAGCTGACCGAGCGCGCGATCCACGATATGATCGCGGACGCGCTGGAGCGGAGGCGCCGAGACCGGGCGCCTGCGCGCTCGCAACCCCGAGCGTTCTCTGCAGCTGCGGGTTGTGGGCCCTGGGGTAGGGCCAGTGAAGTCACCCAGGCACAGCGTTGCCTCGCACGTTTTTTTGTGCTGTCTTTCTCTTCCCTCCCTTGCGATTGATCCACGGCAGCCTTGGTGGCTGCAGCCGTGTCTCGACACTGCTCGCATATCTCTAGATCACAGGTCGTACAAATCAACAGCCGCTCACCGGCGCGAACAGGGCTGCCACAATACTTGCAAACACATTTGCCCGAATTGCTGGTTACATGCCGTTTGCGGCCATGCACTCTGGGGCAATTGAATTGGAAGTCAAGCCGCAGAACTGGTTCGCATCATCAGGAACGCGGCCATGACGACTCACAGCCACATGTGCTCGGACTGGTGGAGGCACAAGGGGAGCATCAGTTGGAGCACGAGGCATATCAGAGAGATTGGCGAGAGCTTGCCAAGCCTCTTTCGGAGATCGTCCAACAGGTTCAATGGGTTGGCGCCAGTAGTGTACTTCATCATGCCAAGAGGGTCCTCGCAGCAGCTGGGGCGAAGCTATTTCGCACTAGAGCATAGCCAGTGAACAAACTGCAAACGGCGCTTGTCACTCAGGGCCGCGTACTTGTTCACGTAGTCGGCCAAGGCATCCGAGGGTTGAGAATCAGCTCTAGGGTAACCATCGGCATGAGCAGGAATGTCAGGAAGATATTCAGCGCGAAGAAGTTCGCGAAGATCAGCGGCACGAACAGGGACAGCACAAACACGTGACATACACGAGGTAGGTTGCACGCCAAGGGATGGCGAAGAAGAGCAGCGCGAAAGAGAATAGTGAGGACTGATCGGGGTAGCGACAAGTTCGGTAGCCGATTCCGCTACTTCTGCAGGTAGCATTTCTGACAACACCAGGACGCGTCGTGGTTTGGGTAAAAGCACATTGGTCAACTGCACCAACGATTCTTCTACAGTTAGAAGGCGCTTGCGCAACACCCGCAGAGAATCTTCAGAAACATGGCCACGACGCTCGGCAGTGACGCCACGATACTGCTTCTAAGGGTCGACAGGAGCACGAAAAAGGACTTCAGGAGAAGAAACACCGGCAGCCCAGGAATCAGGGGAATAGAGCGGGTCAGGGCCAACACTGTCGCCACACTTGGCGGCGCAGACGGTAGCAGCACGAAGAGCTACAAGTCCAACTTCATGTTTGGCACGATTCGCAATCCGACGGGTACGCATAGCAGCCTTGTCAGAGAAATCATGAGCACAATCACGAACAGCAGAATGAGCGGCATGTCTAGCGAAATGATGAGGAATTCCAGATGAGGCGTCATGATACCCATGAACTTGCATGGAATGAACAACTTGCTTTGCAGATGTAGTCATCCACGGGGGCCCAGAAACCTATGTTTCACCATTGTCAGCGCGAGGGCAAACAAACCCGCGAGCACGAGCACGAGCACCACGCACAAGAGCTGGAGCCGAATGCTTGTGCACCGGAGTCACCACAACATGGCGGTGGACGCAATCAAAACACTGCAAGCAGAGGGCTTGAACCAAAATGGCTACGTATCAGCGTTGACTCGCTCTTGCTGGATGCTGGGTCAGAACCCCTCGGAGGGTATAGGCACTGGTGACCCTCGCCGGGAAGGGCAGACGGTACCCGGCTCCAGGGGACAGCGCCGCCACGTTGTGAGTACAGGGCCTGGTCAAAACCCCTCGGAGTGTCTAGGCACTGGTCACCGTTACGGCAGAGGGCAGACGCTACCCAGCTCCGAGGGTCAGCGTCGCCACGTGGTTCGCCGAAGCAAGGGCGTGCTGGGACCAGACCGACATCTCCTTTGGCTGCTGGTGAGCTCGCTCGTGCCTCCTCTGACGGCGGCCCCAGAGGAGAGGCTGCGGTACCACGCTCAGGACAGGAAGGCTGGGAGGACTCATTGCCGGAACGAGGTGGAATGCAGCCAGTCGGTGGACACGGGCGCCCGAGTGCGAGCCGACGTTCAAGACGTCGCGGCCAAGACGGCGTTGGGATGCTACATACGCAACGTTCGGCGCTTCTTGCAGTACGCCCTGCAGCACGACCTTCCGATGATGAACCGCGACGAGATCGACTGCTCGGTCTTAGTCTACCTGGGCGAGCTCGTGGAGGACGGAGAGGTCGGCCCTCATCGGGGTGACTTCGTGGTGCATGGCCTGGCCTACGTGTGGCCAGAGCCGAGCACCGGCCTGCCGAGGGCGAACCGCGCGCTGAAGGCCTGGCACTGCATGCACGTGGCCGGCGAGGGCGGACCTTAGCCGATGAAGCTCTGGGCCGTGCTGCTCGAGACGATGCGAGTCTCGGGGCCCGTCGAGGTCGCCGAGGGCTTCGAGCTGGCGCTGGACACTCACCTCCGCTCGGCCGAGCTCCTCAGCCTGCGAGTCGGTGACGTGATGGTCACCGACGGCGCGGACGGCAGCTCTCTGGTCGCTCTCCGCCTCGGCGTGATCGAGCGGGGTGAGCATGCCAAGACGGGGGTGAGGCAGGGCGTCCTCATTGACCGTGATGTGGCACAGATGGCGATGCGACTGCGAAGCTCGAGGAAGCAGGACGAGCGACTCTTCAGCATGACGGCCGACCGCTACAGACGCGCCCTCCGCCAGGCCTGCTCCGACGTGGGAGTGGTGGCCTTCCCAGCCCACTCGGCCCGCCACTCGGGGCCGAGGCACGGTGCAGTTGTTGGCTACAGGACATTATGGCAGATACAGCGGAGAGGGCGGTGGGCATCGCAGAAGGGCGTGATGAGGTATATGAAGACCCACGCCTGGTGGCGCGAGAGGGGTCGTGCCAATGGACATCCTCGAGAAGGGTGCAAAGCTGCTGCGCGCCAGCCGGCGCCCTGAGCAAGCGATCGTTCCAACGCGCGCCGGCGCGCGCCAGCCGGCGCCCTGAGCCCCCCCCCCCACGATCGCCCCCCCACTACGCAGCGCCCGAGGTAAGGAATTCCAGGGCGCTCCCTGGCGGTTCCGGCACTTGGGCAGCAACTCTGCCAGAGGCCTGGGGAGCACGGTTGTGAATCCTGTGCCCTACGACTGCCGAGAAGGCCTTCTTGGGGGCCTTTTGGTACGCCCGAGAGGCCCGGGAAGCCGGCCCAAAGGCCAAACACATGCATAACTTTCGCAGACTCGCCCTTCCATTCTGAACAGCGTCCAAGAGGGCCCAAGAGGCCCCCAAGAAGCGCCTGAAGAGGGCAAGATTGCCTCTGAGACCGCCCGCAGGCCCCAAAGAGGTCCCCAGGGGCAACTCAGTATCGCAGAACTCCCCAAGAGGCCCCGAAGAGACCCCATGAGGCCCCAAAGAGGTCTCCAAGCCTATGGGGCCTTCCGAGCGTCCCAAAGACACCCAGGCACTGTGGCGGACGGGGCAGAAGGTCACGAGATACTTTGCAAAACTGCACATCGAATGGGAACTCACGGATGTCAAATGGCTGGAAAAAAACTGCACATCATGTTCCATCGCGAAAAGCGTTCCAAAGTCGTCGTTGTTTCCGTGACCAAACGGAGAGGGCTTCCACGAGCCAGCAACTTGTCCCAGTGAGCAAAATACGCATCACCAGCAGCGTTCCCCAAACCGCCCCAAGACGGGCCAAAAGGGGCCCAGGAGGCCACCAAGACGGTCCAGGAGGCGCCCGAAACGGCCCAAGAGCGCTCCTGGACGCCCAAGATGGCCTGAAGACGGCCCAAGAGGCCTCCAAGACGCCTCAAGGAGATCCCAAGAGGACCCCCAAGAGGGTACAATAATGAAGTTGTTAGTTGTTAATAGGTGTTGAAGCATTTTAACATTATCGCCTCTTCCGTCTTAGAAGCGCCGAAGACGGTCCAAGAGGCCCCCAAGATCGCCCCAAGACAGCCCAAGAGGCCCCCAAGAGGAGCCAAGACGGTCCAAGAGGGACCCAGCATAGCCCTAGAGGCCCCCCAAGACGACCCCGAGAGGCCCCCAAGAAGGCCTCAAGAGGGTGAACCCGAACGGACCCTTCTAGTCCTCCACCCCAAGATGACCCCAAGAGCCCCCAAGATGCCCCCGAGGCGCCCCCAAAGGGCACCCAGAGGCCCCCAAGAGGTCCCCAAGAGGACCCCGAGAGGCCCCCAAGAGGCCCCCAAGAGGCCCGGAAGGCCCCCAAGAAGCCCCAAGAACCAAGAGGCCCCAAGAGGCGCTCACTCGCGTGCTGCCAGGCCAGAGGTGCACGGCCTGACTTGGTATTGCTCGGAAGCGAAAGCGATGAACGAAGAACCTTCCACCCGTCGCCGTCACCAGTCGTCGGTCGTCGGCCGTCGGCAGCCGTTCGCCGTCAGTCGTCGTCGTCGTCGTCGTCGTCGTCGTCGTCGTCGTCGTCGTCGTCGTCGCCGGTTCGTCGTCATTAACTCCTTCGTCGGTCGTCGTCGTAATTATCCCGCTCGTCGACCGTTGGTCGTCCGTTGTCGTCGTCATCGTCCATTTCAACAGCAATAGCATCAGGAGCGCCCCAGATCGGCGGCACTGGCCGGAGGCCACTAGAATACGCATCACCAGCAGCGTTCCTAAATGCAAGCTTCATTGGACGCCCCAGATAAAAGGATCCCATGAATTGCTACCGAACTCGGGAGGCCCAAAGGTGGAAAACCCGCGGCGCAACGGTGCACCGCTCGACCTCGGCCGCGGCGCCTCGACGTACCGGGGGGGGGGTCAAAGAAGGGGTGATGACTTACCAGGACGGGGAAATCGTGGCGGGGGCCATGATACCGTTCCCTGTTTGTCGATCGGCGGCGGTACGCCCGTGCCGAAGGCCTTCGCCACCGCCACCGCCACCGCCACAGCCGCCACCGCCGCAGCCGCCGCCATCGTCATCGTCGTCGTCGTCGAACGTCGTACGTCGTACGTCATACGTTGTACACCGTGCTTCGAACGTCGTCGTCGTCGTCGTCGCTGCCGCCGCCGCCGCCGTCGTCGTCGTCGTGGTCGTGGTCGTCGCCGTCAACGTACGTCGAACGTCGTCGTCGTCGTCGTTGTCGTCGTCGCCGTCGTCGTTGCCGCCGCCGTCGTCGTCGTCGTCGTCGTCGTTGTCGTCGTCGTCGTCGCACGTCGTACGACGACGTCATGGTCGTCGTCGTCGTCGCCGTCGTCGTCGTCGTCGCCGACGTCGTCGCAGCCTCCGCCGCCGCCGCCGCCTCCGCCGCCGCCGCCTCCGCCGTCTTCGTCGTCGTCAACGTACGTCGAACGTCGTCGTCGTCGTCGTTGTCGTCGTCGCCGTCGTCGTTGCCGCCGCCGTCGTCGTCGTCGTCATCGTTGTCGTCGTCGTCGTCGCACGTCGTACGACGTCATGGTCGTCGTCGTCGTCGTCACCGTCGTCGTCGTCGTCGCCGACGTCGTCGCCGCCTCCGCCGCCGCCGCCGCCTCCGCCGCCGCCGCCTCCGCCGTCGTCGTCGTCGTCGTCGTCGTCGTCGCCGTCGTCATCTTCGACCTCAACCGCGGCGCCGAAGGTCGCGCCGAAGACCGCCGCCGCTGCCGCCGCCGGCGCGGAGCGGTCCAGGCCCCCCCTAGGGGGGCGCGGGCCTTGTGCAGGGCCTCCACCACGCCGGAGCGCGGCGGGCCCGGGTGGGGGTCTTCCTGGCGCCCGCAGCCAAAAGGGCAGATCCCCGTCGGCATGATTGATTCCATCGCGGCGTCTCTCCGTCGATGTGGGCTTCCGGGGCCGTCATCGGCCGTCGGGACCACCAAAAGTGGATCCAGTATGCCAAACTGCCCTTTGGGGAATGGGTCGAGACCTCTGGGGCAGCGGATTAATAAAAAATTGCGGATATCTGGGGGACGGGCCACCTCTTTGCTCACGCACTACTGCGCTGTGCTCACAACTACACCCACACACACACCGTGCCACACAAAAACAACAACAACAACAACAACAACAACAACAACAACAACAACAACAACAACAACAACAACAACAACAACAACAACAACAATCATTTTACCCTCATGCGCCATGCTTCCTCATGACACATGCATCCATCATGATAACTAACCCCATCCTGGGGGATTATTTTTCCTGGCGCAGGGGGGTCCGATATACCCATACCCAGGACTCCCGCCCAAGGAGGTCTTGCGAACACCTCTTCCGAAGAATCTCAAAATACTCCGTTCGGGCGGCACATCGTTTTCGAACTCCCTTTGCCCGCGCCCTGTTTCGCGGAGGAGGAGCAGGAGGAGGAGGAGGAGGAGGAGGGAGAGGAGGAGGACGAGGACGACGACGAGGAGGAGGAGGAGGGAGAGTAGGAGGAGGAGGAGGAGACGGAGGAGGAGGAGGAGGAGGAGGAGGGAGGAGGAGGAGGGGGAGGAGGGAGGAGGGGAGGAGAGGAGAGTAGGAGGAGGAGGAGGAGGGGGAGGGAGGAGGAGGAGGGGGAGGAGGAGGAGGAGGAGGTTTTCGGACCCTCGGCCTTCGAAAGTTTCTCCTCGATTTCGGCCCGACGCGGGCCGCGCCGGGCCGCAGGCGGGCCCGACGCGGCCGGCCACGGCACCCCGTCGGTCGGGCCCGACGCGGCGGGCGGGCGCCCCGTCGGCGCCCCGTGGGCGGAACCCCAAAACGCATGAGCGTGAGCCTCAATTTCAAAGGAAATGCACCGGCGCCTCGGCGA